GTGACATCAACGAGGAGTTATTATGTACCAAATAAGTAAAATACCTAAACTGGGGTGCACGAGGCCCTGAAATATTATCATAAATATTCTTAAGATAAAGTATATTTTAATGATATTATCTTTGATATCATAATTTCTACAAGTGAGCGCATTTCCGTTATTGAACCATCCACCTCGAACTTCGTCGGCCATTTGCATCTGGTTTTACCCTCCAAAACCAGAGACATTAAAACCAAAGAAAACACTTTGCCAATTCCAGGAATTAAAAGGCATCATAGCCCTGATCATTGCCTCTAATTAAAAGACCATCGTTGTATTTTATCGTGTATTCTATATTCTTAACTTCATGCATGCATGTGTGTTTCTAGTTTCAAAACGTATCCACTAAAACAAGAACATAACAGAACAAATTAAAAACGCGAGAAAATATAGACGTTTAGCGAGACACATATTCATTGTGAGAGAAATGTCCAATTGCATTTAAAGTAAGATATAAAAATAGGGTGTCTGGTTGACAGACAACACTGTCAACGTCTCCAATATCTCCGTGTCCTCATTCTGCTCAATTCGACAGCCTTGATGTTGACCTTTGACATTACTCGCTTTGAACTATGCATTATCAGCCTTTGTAACAGCCATGAATTACAGCTCTTTAAATACCCCGTTGAATATTGACCTGTTTCATAATTTATAGGCATACTTCAGTGACGGTGTAAATAAAAGCGACAACACGTTCCATAGACACAGGAAAGGTATGCTTTTATAAAGGCAGTGTCGATTGTACGATTCCGACTGTATCATGAACTACGACGCACCAAATGTTTATCGCTATGGAAAATGGCTGTAGCTATTCAAGGAATTATGAACACATTTCTTGGTGGGGTAGCCTAATGGAATGGTTAAAGCGTCCGCTCGTCACGCTGAAGACCCGGTTTCGATTTCCCACGTGGGTGCAATGTGTGAAGCCCATTTCTGGTGATATTGATGGAATATTGCTAAAAGCGGCGTAAAACCGTGCACACTCACTCACTGAACACATTTCTTGGTGTTCGATTCCCCACATGGGTGCAATGTGTGAAGACCATTTTTGGAGTTCCCTGCCATGATATTACTGGAATTTTGTTAAAAGCGGCGTAAAACCCAACTTACTCACTTATTGAACACATTTCTTGGTCCCTGCTACATTCAAGATAAAAAAGTCAAAAAGATCAAGAAAAATATTTCTTAAATATTTGTATGAAGTGTCCTTGACCTGACACGTAAGTAAAGTTTTAAAGTTGACAATATTTGAATACATTCAATTTATGTTACTGACTGGAAATTGCCTCACTATCCACGAAACACGAAATGACGTGTAGCACAAATCAATCAAATATAGGTTGTATCCTTCATATCATGTGCACCTAGTTTAGTAAAATTACGATCAGGCTATATCACTTTGTAGGCGACCTCTGCAGTCTCCTTCCCATTTGAAAAAATATAACTGAATTAATGAGTCTTCTCGTAAATATATCGAATCTTTCTGTCGTGCACTGTGGCAGTGTGCGAAATAGTTCCCAAATTTTGCTAGCCAGTCGGGCCACCTATGCCTGAAAGTCACTAGCCCACAAAACAATTCACTAGCCCGAAATCTGAATGTAGACACTGGATTCATCATTAAGCTGATAATATGATGAACATTTTAATCAGGCCATAATCTTGCGTGTTAGAACTTAACAAGTCGGAGAGTGTGATATATTTACAATATGACCCCATGAAAATTCACTAGCCAGTCGGGCCAGTACCTGTGAAGACTTACTGGCCCGACTAGATTTTTACTAGCCACGGGCTAGCGGGCCAGTGGTTATTTCGAACACTGCTTTGTTGTGTCACGTCCGGTCTTTACATTTACAGATGACATATGAAAATCATAATATGGAGACCTCAGTGACTCCACAGTGAGTTAATAGTGTCAATTATCTCACGAAAAAGATTTTCATTGGGGGTAAAAGTCTAACTGGTAGTGAATATATGAATTAATCACTGAAAATAAAAGATTAAGTCTTAATATAGCGATGGTTGTGTATCCTATGAGTTAAAGCGTTGTTTAAGGCATAGCCATGGCCATGTTGGGAATCCAAGAAAGGACAACGCAACGATGTCCCTTTTTTGATTCCATACCCAAGACCATAGCGGGAGTTCCCACATGGGTGCAACATGTGAATCACGCCGTGACATTGATGCAGCGAATAATTGGCATACGAAAATTCCATGGGGGGCGTAGTATCTGTGTACCACACATCTAATTATAGATGCAAGTCATCAAAGCATATGGTTCGCCTGCACAAGGCTGTCCTGGTGCTCGCAACAGTGACTGACAGTAACGTCAGTAACGTCAGTAACGTCATAATGATTCCACCAGGGTAGAAGGCCTAGTAGACTTAGAACTATATGAAAAGATCGCTTAAAATTACTGATGACACCAGGTGTTCTAAAGAATTGTGCCCATATCCATCCCTATGGTTAGCACCCGGCATTCACACAATTTCGAAATTCAATTAGTGAATGGCAAATAGAATACATTGCTGTCAGTTTTAGAAAACCAACAGCAGCTCTATGCTAGAAAGCACATATCCATGAACCATTTACAACCATTATCCGCACTCTGAAGGAATGATGCTCCCTCGCATCAGTTACATCATCAACCTGATCGCCATTCAGCCGAGGAACATCCAAGATGACTGAACGAGCCATGTGTAGATGCTTTTCTTTCTCTTCGTTGTGTGTGTTGAAAACATCCCACTATATAATCCGTCCGTTCTTAGCCATGCAATAACGACATTCACACGTAACAATGCCTGATCTATAGTGACAGGTGAGTGTACGGTTCGGTCTGCAGGTGCACAGCTAGTTATAAATCGCTGTGTATGCTGGGAACGTCACTGGCATCTCGTGTAACGCTATCTCCGGTACTATATT